TGTCCACATTCCAATCCATAGCAAAGCTTTTTTTTTTCATTTTTATTGAAAATAATTCAGCTTAATAATTGTAAAAAACAATGCAGTTTTTCTTTTTAAATTCAATAGAATATCCTCTCTCCAACATTTGCCCAACACTCAACAAATTTTAACTGAGTTCAGGAACATATAAAACATTATTAATAAGTTTGGTACTTGCAGGTGTTTGCACTTCTGCTATACCTTTCCATTTGACTTAAAGAAGATCTCCATTGCCAATTCTCACAGTGGTTCTAAATCTTTTATCAAGGTCTTTGAAGATTGTTACATCAAATGTCATATGGTTCGTGTATCCGCTATCAATGAGCCAGCTGTTGTTAGTACTTATGCTTCGAAAGCATGAGGTAGCAAAGAGTTTCTATTTGTACTGCTTGAGCTTGTTGACCACTTTAAGAGTCTTTATTCTTTCTTTTGTACACCTTAGTGATATGTCCGAGTTGTCTGCAAATACCACATATTGCATTTGGTCTCCATCACAATATTTCTCCAATGAATGATCTTTTTGCAGTACTTGCAGGGTATAAATTTTTTCTTGCCATCACAGCCTTCATTCTTCTCTTTTGACTTTTTGGGAAACTGTTGCTTGCCTTTGTTTCCTTACTGTTGGTTTTGGACATGAAAGGCTCCTTTAGTAATTTTATCTTGCCGTAAAACCCTCATTTGTTCTTGTGCTTGAAGAGCATTCATCAACTCAGCCACTGAAATATTATTAAGATCCTTGAACTTTTTTAGAGAGGAAATTTTGTATTCAAACATCTCAGGAAGTATTACAAGAACTTTTTCCACAATTCTTTTATTTGAAAAATCCTCGCCAAGCTAGTGAATTTGATTGACAATCAAGGAAATTCTATTTGAGTATTTGCTGATGGACTCATCTTCCTTCATGCTTAAAGCTTCAAAATCCTTTTTCAAATTCAAAATCTGCACTTGTCTGGTTTTGTCACTTCCTTGATACTTGACTTTTAATCTATTCTAAGCCTCTTTAACAGTCTTGCATGCCATGATCCTCGAGGAAACTGAATCTCCCATTGAATTTTGAAGAATAGTTTTGGCTTTGGATCTTTTGGCTTTTTCTTCAGAATGAGCTTTGATTTGTGTCAAAGTAAGATCACTCGCGAGTACAAGTACAAGTATAGGTCTGTCTTCTATTACTACCTCCTAAATATCAAAGGCTTCTGAATAGGTTTGCATTTTTATTGACCAAATTTGGTAGTTTTCACTTTTAAAGGTGTTTGGGGCTGCCAAGGGAGGCCTGTTGCTCACTGACATTTTGGGTTTAATTTTTTTTTGGAATTTTCCTCACAAATTCTCTAAGACCAAGAAAGATTGACAGTAACCCGAGAAAATTTTGGGAAGAAAGATTGTTATATTATCTTCATTTCAGAATACTTATTTATACAAAAAAAAGATAAAATAGTCTCATACTTTTTAATACAAAATTCCTAACCTGTTACAATTTAAAAATTTAAAGATAATAATTAAGATTTTAAAACTAGTTTGAAGTAATTTATCTTTTGCAATTAATATTTAAAATGATTTTATCTGCTGAATTTTCAAAAAGTCTTCACTACTAGAGCCAAAATGCCAAATGTTCAACAAAAACCAAGTTTTCTTTGGTTAAAATCTGCCGTATAGCAAATATTCTAAAAATTGCTGGTCACAGGGGCAGAGATGGAATCAAAACAGAGAAATGGAGCTTAAAAAATATAGCTCTCTCATGCAAAGTAGCAATTCCAACTATAACGTCTTCTGAATATTTTCAGTACAGGAAATGAACACCACGCAAACTTGTCATCTATACAAAGATTAACAGGTGAAAAGAATTTGAATAGATGATAAAAGCATCACCCTAAAATCCACACAATTTTTTTGGGGTTCCCTTGTATGCAACAAGGGAAGCAACTCCCACGTTAGTTTTTGTTTCCTTTTTAAATAAATTCTTCACAGTTCAAACATTCCACCCTCTCTCCTTCTCTTTATGATTCTGCTTCTGCTGGATTTCCTTTGTTCCTGCTCTTCTTCCACTGCCAAGCAGTACCCTATGTGCAAACCTCCCCCTACTTCCAATTGATACTCTAACTTTCTCTGTTCCTACATTTATACCGCCTCTTCTAAGATGCTGCTGCAATGGAGATTTCAATTGAATTTTCTTTTGAAGGCTTCTTCTTAATATGGTACTTAGCTTCTTCCTGCTAAACTTGATTCCTTTAGGACTGTCACAATTTGTTTGCTCAGTCAAGCAGTTAGCTTCCAATCCCTCCTCTTCCCCTTCTCTCACATCAACTTGACATTGTGAGAATGGTAAGAATTGTGGTGGCAGAGAAGCTAAGCTTGGTAGTGGGATCAATGAGTTGCGCCTCATAACTGGCGCTGCAGGGACTCGCCTTGCAGCAGTGCAAATAGATGCCCTTCCTGTCCTCTTGGGCAATTGTGGATGTTCAGACATCTCAGGATTGTTTTCTTTTTCTGCAGGGTCAATATGCTTGACAAGGCTATCTGCTGGAGAAGCCAGTTGAGGAGTTCTGTAGTTGTTCTCTGCAAGTTGCCGAGTTGAATTTACTTGCTCTTTCATTACTGCACCATATGCTGGTTCATTCAAATTCTTATTACTTCCTAACAATCTATTTGCAAGTGGTGGTCTTGATGGGGCAATATTTTGATCTTCATGTTGTTTCATTTGTTGTTGTTGTTCTGCTATCTTGGTGTCTATATGTTGGCGTGCTAACTTCCTCTCAATTAGCAACTGTGATTCAAGTTCCTTGACCTGCAAAACAGACCCAAGAAAAGTGAAATTTCTTTAGGAATAAGGACAAAACCACGGAAATGAAGGTGATTTCAGGTCCAATATTTCAGTAAGTTCAATATTTTCTGGGGGATTGACTGTACGATCTGATACCTTATCTTGAAGGTTCTTATTTTTCAGGTCTCTTTCTTTTATCTTTAACTCTAATCCGTGGACTGTATCCTCCATTTTCTTGATCTGTACATCTTTGATCTTCATATCTTGCTTTGATTTCTCAACCTAATCAGTAAACCGCTGAGATTAATAGAACATAAGTACAATGTGCTTAACAAGCGTGGATGATAACAAGGAAAATATCAGGTTTTACCATCTGTTTATATCTCAGAAATTCTGTATTATCCAGCTGCTTCCTTGCTGGACCCAACTCTACCCCTCTAACTCTACTTGCAAAGTTCAGTGAGCATAGTGTCTCACCTAGATCATTTTCATTAGGACTGATCTGTACAAACATTAGTGTCTTTGAATCTCCTCCTAACAAATACAAATCCACTCATCAGAATTATATCCTTGAGTCTGAATAACCTTGAAAAGACCACTAAAAAATATTGAATTAGCAGTAAACTTAAAGGAGGCCAAATTCTTTTTCAATTTTTGAAGGATACTGAAAGAAAAGTACCCAGAGAGTCTTGAAGCAGGTGGGTGAGCTTTGAATTCCTACAAAGAAAAGAAAGATGGCAACTTTCAGAGCCAAAGGAACAACAATTTCATTGTTGATTACACATGCAAACTAATTAACTAAGGAATCATCTCTGTTCTTTAACCTGAAAGGGACATGGGGGCATTTAGATGCAAGAGCAGATATGACATCACCAAGAGCGGACAAAGATCTGTTAATACTTTGAGTTTCCTTGAGCCGTTCTCCTTGCACTTCAGTCTTTGCAACTCGTTCACTTCCTGCTAGGTCCACTAACCAAAGCTTACTCTTTGTGCATTCTCCATTCAACAAATTCTCCCCCTTCACCATTACACAGTGAATGCTGCATGGAGAAAAAACATCATATCCTTGTTTCACAATGTTTCCAAAAGCAATTAACATGATCTACATAAAAAATGAGATTGAATTTGGATGAACAAACCAATGGGATCGACTGCTGTGCTCATTTGCATTTGTTGAACCGACAGCCCTTGCTTTACTGCCAGTTTGCAAGACCTCCCAAACCTCACTCATATTGCTTACTTGTGCTTCTACTAATCCTGGCACGTGATGTATTCCTTCACCCAGTTGCCTTATCTCAAGCCTAAAAATGAACATATCATAGTTAAAACTTTAAAAAGTTACCTCAGGAAATTCCTAAAAATCTATTACTTGGAAAGGTAACAGGCAAATAGTGCCAATGTCGTAGCTGCTGCTGACCACATGGCTCCGTGGTTTTTGATCAAGTGATGGAGAAACCTCGGAGACTGAGACCTCTCAAATACAAGGATTTGATTCCGAAATTCCCATTTGGAGAGAGAATATTCAACAACCGTACAAAAAGCCTTTCAGAAAAAGTTTCTCAACTATCTTCAAGGGAAATCAGGAAATAAACAGATAACAATTGTTTGCCAATATATAAACTATATCCAAATTATGTAAATAATTGCTTTTGTGTGGCATGAAGTTTAGTTGTAACTATCTCCTGACAGCAAAAACTTATCCTACTTTAAGATGATATTTATCAAGCTTTCTTCTTTCAAGACCACAAAATGTAATAACAAGTCATTAAGTAAAAAAAAAAAAAAGCAGAAATCTTGTCAGGCTTTTTAGCTAGAAAATATCATCTACTATTGATAGAAAGTAATAAATCATCCCAGACTCAATTAAAGACCTTGTCATCTATGTGTGACAGTCACCTAAGGTCCCTCAAATTATCTCACGCAAAACAATATTATCAAACTTAAAAGTGAAAAAGGTGTTAGAGGCTACAAGATAGTGAGAACTAGGAAATAACTTCAGGTTCACATAAGGCACCTTTTTGCAGCTGCTCCTGACTGAGAGCCTGGTACCAGCAAATCTCTTATTTGCTCATTATAAACTTCTAAGACACTAACTGATATATTATATCGATGTTGCTTCTCTCGTTCTTTAATTATGTAAAACAATTCATCAAGAGTCCTATAATTTACTCCACGTGCTTCTTCTGTACCCTCCATTGTAAAAGTTTTTCCAGTACCAGTCTGCCCATATGCAAAGATGCAAACATTGTATCCATCTAGGACTGAGGTGGCAAATGGAGCAGTGTCCTCAAAGATGTCAGCTAAACAAAAAAATTACCAATAAACATCAGATAGTCTATTGAAATTTATGATCTTGCACGAGAAGCAACTTTCAATACTTTGATTACCTTGGCCTGCTTGAGGGCCAAAAACAGCATCAAACTTGAAAGTTTTCCTGGGCGCCCCATTAGATAGAACAGTGAGCTCACTATCTTTCGCTGATTCAAAATCAATTGCCATAGAAGCACCTCCTGCAACTTCTTCGGGGTTTAAGGGCCTGCACCTGCAAAAGACTCTTATGTTTCCTGAAAGCAGGTTTAGTGATGTTGTTAAGGCTTCTCGATTATTGAAGTTGTTCCATTTCCTATCATTTAGATCCACCAAACAGCTAACCTTTTAATTCTAAAATCTTATTGTAGAGTTCTTTCCTTTCTTTAGCTCCCTGGACAAATTTTTTCTTGAGATCTTCATGCAAATCTGCTTGCTGATTTACTATTGAAAAAGGAGTGTTAGCACATAAAGAAGATTTTAAATAATAAGGATGAAGTAAATTCCAAGATAAATTATTATAAGGACATTTGAAAAACTTACTTCTAGATTGGATGATAGAGCCTATTTTATTGAAATCAGCGAGGAACTTTTTAGAGGCTTCTGCCTCCTCGGATAGCTTAATTTGCTCCATTCTCATAATCTATGATATGGAAATGTTTAAAAGAATGAACTCAGATTTTCTGTTGGTCAAATATATATCACAAACTAAGTTCAAATACCTTCAGTTTCCTTGTCAAGTCTCTCAATGATGAGAACCATTTGCTTTTCTCCTTCACTTGCCCTTCAATGGCAAAAGCTACAAATTGACAAATATCAACAGGTTGATTGTCAGATAATTATTATGTTTAAATAAAAATTAATAAAGGAAAGATGAGGAAAGGAAAAGAAAAGGAGTAATTTTTAAAGGAAAAGAGAGGGAAAGTATTTCATTTATTTGGATAACTAAAAATTGAAAATGAAATGAAAGGAAAAGATTGTTCTAGTATTTTGCTTGGTTTAACTTTACATAGGAACAGAAAAGATTAATTGTGAGAAAACAGTCAATAAACTTTATTAATGACAGAATAACAAGTTGTGCAGTAAAGATAAAAAATAAATTTTTCCTTCAAAAATTTTGAACTCTTTTCTTTTCCGTTCCTCTTTTTCCAATTTGGAAGAAGAGAAAAATTAGAGTTTTAACAGAAGTTGTGGGATGTTCACCACCCTCTCTCTTTTTTTTTTCTTAACTACTAATTATTTTTTGTTTTATTAAGTGTAAGGAATGTGAGTATTCCATCCTTTCATTTACTTTAGCCCACTGCCCTTGATCCAAATATTGTTTGAAAGATGGTTACCACACAGAAGAAAGATAGAATCATACCCAATGACCCAACATGCATTGACTTCCGCATAAGCTCATCTTGGAGCTCTCTGAGAGAATTCCAAGTTTTTTGACATTCCTTATTTTTATGTTGATTCTCCCTCTTAAGCTCCTCCAACACACGCCTCGTCTCTGTTAGTTCCTTCCTCTGACATTCATATTCTCTTTTCAGCATTTGATAATCTCCTTCCACCATGCAGTCAGTAGTATCCTGCAACAAAATCATTTTTTAGACGGTCCACCTTGTGGCTCTTCTCTAAATTGAACTTATATCTACATATAGTATAAAGTCATATTACCTCTTCTAACTTGGATTCTGCTCCTTGGGTCATTTCAGCAACTTCCAGCGTTTCTGCTACTTCAGTATCTGACACAATAATTGTTCATTAAAGATAATGAGAGCTTTTAAATGTCGACTCTCAACATACACTAGGAAAAAGCATCTATCGAAATCAGTGCTTAAAAGCATAAAGTGAAAGGCAGGAGAATCTGTCTTCAAATAAGTTGGGCGTCCATTGGGATCAAATATGAACTATGATTACAGTCTTTCATGATAGAATCTTATATGGGTTGGCACCTCCTTAGTGCCTATATTTAATAATAATTCATACTTTTTTATTTTTAAAAAAATTTATAGAAGAATCTTGGCTAAAAAATTCGTAAGCCATCAAGTTAAAATCAGTAAAGAAATAATGGGCAAGTTCCACGTATTAACTGGAGCACCTTTTCTCACAGAAATTCCGCATATGATTGGGCTCCCCATTACTCCTTCGAATCTAATAGATAGCCCCCCTTCACAATCAACAAAAGCTGATAGATCAGATATGACCAGAGGATTATGTTCTCCTACCTGAGCATATATATCAAGGGATGACACAACCTACAAAATCATCAATCACCGTGATCAGATAGAGTAACATGCTTCATCTTCACACTTACAGTTTTTAAAATAGCTCATTTTTCATGTATGTTTACCTTCCTTTCCTGTATATATACATTAAACACTCTAATGCCAGGAGGGCCATTAGTAAACACAATCTCAGCAAAATGCAGATCAACCATGTAGCTTCCGGGCTCGAATAATTGAAACTTGTAATAGGAGTTTCCGAAACGAGCTGTTTGGTACAATGAAACTCCCTCTTCATCAGCAATTATGGCATCAGTTCTTACAGTATCACCCCCAGCAAAACAATAGTCCTTCGAGAAACTCACACTTCCCAACATCACTCCGTCATTTGTACATCCACAATTGACGCTTATAACGGGAAGGGAATCATTTTCTGAGCTGCCTTTAGTTGCTGTTGGTGGAGGAAGCGAGAAGGAAGATTCAGGAGACAATTCTTTGCTGAAAGTTTGGCAGATTGATGAAAATTTAACGTGCGGAGTCTTTTGTGTATGTTTGGAGTCAGAGCCATGTATCCCATTTTCTAAAGAAAGCTCAACGGAACAATTTTTGTTCTTCAACAATTCAGGGGAATCTCCATAAACATTTCTCACAATATCAGGGGAACCAGCACATATAACCAAATCAGGAGAAGTTAGAGAAAATCCCAACACCGACCGACCTGGACATAAGGGTTAATTCGATCAAATTGTAGGAATTTCAGATAGAAATTGTTAAAAATTAAAGTATTTTCTTTTTCTTCTAAAATTAAACAGCGGAAACGACATATTTTATACCATCAATTGGGTTCCCAGGTTCTTGCGTTCTTACATATTCTGAGCTTTTATTGTACCAAGAAACATCTACATCAACAGATTCTCGAAAAATTAAGTATCAATAAGACATTCCAGTGCAATATCGTAGAAAACGCATAAAAAATGAACAAAATCTGAAAATTATTTGACAGAATTACCGTCATTTATCTCGGACTTAGAATCTTGATCAGCCATTGTCGAATCTTTCAAGCTAGGTGGTGCCGTCAGTTCTATTGCTACATGCAGTTGAAAGGAAATCAAGAAATCAGATGGACTCAAGAGTAAAGAAACCAATAGATTCCGAATTGGCTTATCTTTGTGTAGAAATCTTACACTGGGAGCTGCTTAGTTGCCAAGAAACATCAGTGAGGAGAAGCGGGTCATGCCATTGATTATCAGCATCCTCCATTAACAAAAGAGAGAGAAGAGTATAATGGTTTTTAAGATTAGGGTAAATTTCAAAGAAAATTTAAAAGGAACAAAGAGAAAAGCTTGTGGTTTTTAAATCTTTCTGGCAAAAGGGCGCTGATTTTGGTAAGTCATTGAATCTGAGTTTTTGGAGGTAGACGACCGTTGGGTTTTGAAATTTGAAATTTGGTAACCGGGCACTGGTTCGCTGTGTGATCAAATAAGGAATCCGAAGGTCACGGTTTTCTAAGCAACTGCCACGTGGCAGAGATTTTATTTTCCTCGCGCATTGGAGCTTATACCGTCCGTATTTCATAAATTGTTAAAAATAAATTTAAAATTATTAAAAATATCTTTTAATTAAGAAAAATTTTAAAATTATGCATTTGAAAATTCTTAAAATAAAAAAAGATTTCCAACTCATTTTGATTTTCATGAAAAAAATTATTATTTAAATTTAAGTTTTGAAAATTACTTTAAAAAATATTTAAATCTGCACAAAAAAATTAAAAACAAAATTTAAATAAATTTACAAAATTGTCAAAAGTGTACTACAATAATATGTTGTGCTGCTGCACAAAGATATTCCGTGTAGACGAGTGATTTTTATTTTTTTAAGGATTAAATTGTAATATATTTTTGGATGAAACAGTATGCATAAAAACCTAGATGTTTCTTTTTAATTATTTTTAAAATTGTATTTTGCCAATATATATATATATATATATATATATATATACACTAATTGATTTGAAGAAAAATGTCAACTACAAATGTATAAAATTTAGGGTTACTACTCCTAAACTTTATTCTTTTATCATTTAACCAAATTGTTTCTTTTTTTTTTTTAAAATTAGAAAGACTAGTTTCTATTTATATTATGTTGTAGTTATTTCAATTAAAAATATATATAATCATTATCAAATATTTTTTATGTCATAATTTGATGAAATTAAATCAAATTTGATTATCTTAAGTTAAGAGTTATCATTTTTTAATTTAATAAAAAAAATATCAAGTATGCTGTGTAAAATTTAAAGTTACTATTCCTTAGTTTTATTCTTTTACCATTTAATCAAATTTCTTGCTTTAAAAGAAATTAAAAAAAATTGTGTTGGATTTGTATCTTATTGTGTTTATTATAATTAAGAAATCTGAAATATTATATAATATTTTTTAATTTAATATATCGTTTATTATTACATTATCATTAATATACTAATAATTAAAATTTTAAAGTAATTAAATTAAATATA